TGTAAAAATATTATAAATTGATTTGCATTTTAATGAGGGAAATAAGTATTTGACCCCTCTGTAAAACATGACTTAGTACTTGGTGGCAAACCCTTGTTGGCAATCACAGAGGTCAGACGTTTCTTGTAGTTGGCCACCAGGTTTGCACACATCTCAGGATGGATTTTGTCCCACTCCTCTTTGCAGATCTTCTCCAAGTCATTAAGGTTTCAAGGCTGACGTTTGGTAAATCGAACCTTCAGCTCCCTCCATAGATTTTCTATGGGATTAAGGTCTGGAGACTGGCTAGACCACTCCAGGACCTTAATGTGCTTCTTCTTGAGCCACTCCTTTGTTGCCTTGGCCATGTGTTTTGGGTCATTGTCATGCTGGAATACCCATCCACGACCCATTTTCAATGCCCTGGCTGAGGGAAGGAGGTTCTCACCCAAGATTTGACGGTACATGGCCCCGTCCATCGTCCCTTTGATGCGGTGAAGTTGTCCTGTCCCCTTAGCAGAAAAACACCCCCAAAGCATAATGTTTCCACCTCCATGTTTGACGGTGGAGGATGGTGTTCTTGGGGTCATAGGCAGCATTCCTCCTCCTTCAAACACGGCGAGTTGAGTTGATCCCAAAGAGCTCCATTTTGGTCTCATCTGACCACAACACTTTCACCCAGTTGTCCTCTGAATCATTCAGATGTTCATTGGCAAACTTCAGACGGGCATGTATATGTGCTTTCTTGAGCAGGGGGACCTTGCGGGCGCTGCAGGATTTCAGTCCTTCACGACGTAGTGTGTTACCAATTGTTTTCTTGGTGACTATGGTCCCAGCTGCCTTGAGATCATTCACAAGATCCTCCCGTGTAGTTCTGGGCTGATTCCTCATGATCATTGCAACTCCACGAGGTGAGATCTTGGATGGAGCCCCAGGCCGAGGGAGATTGAGTTATTTTTTTGTTTCTTCCATTTGCGAATAATCGCACCAACTGTTGTCACCTTCTCACCAAGCTGCTTGGCAATGGTCTTGTAGCCTATTCCAGCGTTGTGTAGATCTACAATCTTGTCCTTGACATCCTTGGAGAGCTCTTTGGTCTTGGCCATGGTGGAAAGTTTCAAATCTGATTGATTGATTGCTTCTGTGGACAGGTGTCTTTTATACATGTAACAAGCTGAGATTAGGAGCACTCCCTTTAAGAGTGTGCTCCTAATCTCAGCTCGTTACCTGTATAAAAGACACCTGGGAGCCAGAAATCACTGATTGAGGGGGTCAAATACTTATTTCCCTCATTAAAATGCAAATCAATTTATAACATTTTTGACATGCGTTTTTCTGGATTTTCTTGTTGTTATTCTGTCTCTCACTGTTCAAAGAAACCTACCATTAAATTATAGAATGATCAATTCTTGTCAGTGGGCAAACGTACAAAATCAGCAGGGGATCAAATACTTTTTTCCCTCACTGTACCTCTGGACTGCAAGTCCAGTGCGCTAACCAAGACACCGGACAATGCAGCATTCCTGTGTGGCTTTGTGAAATGTAACACAAATGCACCGAATGGGTAATCTCTAATGTCAAGCTTGCCATGTTGATGTTGGGGGGGGGGGGGGCTATGGAGGAGGGCAGATCCAACAAAAGGCATCTAAACTTCACGTGGCAAGGAAACGGAGCATCTGTCAAGATTATCGATGCAAATTGGAGCTCTTGACCTAGCAGGATAATAAAAAACACACCAGCCCCCACAATTGTTTTTATTATGAATGATTAGAACAATTCTGCGCAATGGTGAATAGCAGTCACCAATTCAGGTTTCTGTCACTTGGTAGGGAAAGGTGCAGCCCTGTAACTTCTTGTTCAGGCCACTTCTTGTTGAAAGGGTCAGCCCCCTCCCCCTCCCTGGCAGTAGCTCTGCATAGCCCCATCTGTAGGATAGTGTGGCCTACTCTGCCACACTGACCAGTAATTTTGCAGCCTACCAAACAACGCACTGTGGCAGTGTAGCCATATGTATTGCTGGGCTATAGCCAATCGTTTCAGCTGCCGTGCCGAGAGATCAAATCAAAACGGTGACCTATGGATTGCAGGTCCAGTGTACTGCTCACTGTTATACCGTGGTCTTTTTAAAAATCTGTGTTCGACGCAAACATTCCAAATGTGTTTATAATTTCTTATTTTTAAATGCCAATTTACTCTTAAACAGCACGGCTGCCGTCACATTAATTTGTATGTGCGTTTCCAATCTCGTCCCATTGCATGAGACAAAGCAGTTCCCGTTGCTGAGCAACATTCTAATTTTGGATAGCATTTTGTTCCCAAGTTACCCATTTGTTTAGACGTTTGAATGTATGTCTCTTGATCTTCTTCGCACCGTACGTAGCCAACTGAATTATAGCCAGTTTTTTTAAAGGTGCTACCTTACCAAGGAAGTAATTATCTTTTACAAACACGAATTAACCGGTCAGAACAGCTAAGATGAATTAAATATACATGCAAGCATGGGGATGCTGCCGTGGTGTGATGGCTAGCATTTTGGAATTGCAATACAGAGGTAGGCTGGGTTCGGTCTCCCAGTGCGAAAGTTAAGATAATGGGGCACGTGTCTTAAATCCATCCACCCCTGACTCGCGTAGATCAAGCCTCAAGGATTACCCCTTGGGACCCATGGGTTTTCTTTTAAACCAAACTTTGAGTGCCTCACAGCTGTGCAAATGATTTCCCACATTTCTGGTTTGACCAAAAAAAATAATATTCAGCTCTATTTAGTGCACCGACAGCTGCTGATGGTTCAGGTCGAATGCCCGGCAGGTGTTTGTATTATTTAATTTCCTATGGGGGTGTTCACTAAGTGGTGGGCATTAGTCTATTGCTGCTATGAAAACTCATTTAATAACTGACCCCCGCCCACATTTTCTCCTAAAGTAGACTCGCCCAATGCGTACGTGACAATTGAACGTGTCCCATTCTGATGACGTATGGTATTGGAAGAAAAGTCAAATAAAATTACTTTATCGGTATGGCTTCATGTCGGAAGACGTTACTGAGGCTCCCACAAGGCCATACGGGGCAGCGTGGCACAGTTTGGTGCCAGCTATCAGTGCGGTCGTGTCGCTGCAGGTGTCTGCCTTGAGAACAACGTCTACAAAAACAAAGGCGCTATGCTTATAGTAATAGGTTTTTACCCTTTTATCTGGCACCAAAACTGACACCTTTATACAAGGGATCATGTTTGCAATAACCACAACACAAGCAGTCAAAATGCAAACAAAAAGAGACAACTCTGATAATGATATGCACTGTCCTTGAAACCGATTGGTCCACACCCGAGACGGCTTTTCTTAGAGCATAGTCTCCACTGGTGTTTGACTAGATGACGCCAATTTCATGGGTTTCCCCCCCTCCAAGGTTTTTCAGTTGGGGTGGACATTTACGCCTTTTGGCGTCATCTGGTCCAACACCAGTGGAGACTAGGCTCTAAGAAAAGCCGTCTCGGGTGTGGACCAATCAATTTCAAGGACAGTGCATATCATTATCAGAGTTGTCTCTTTTTGTTTGCATTTTGACTGCTTGTGTTGTGGTTATTGCAAACATGATCCCTTGTATAAAGGTGTCAGTTTTGGTGCCAAATAAAAGGGTAAAAACCAATTACTATATCTTGCTACTGGCAAAGGAGGTCTCATAATGTAGGCGCTATGCTTCTCTAAATCAAATTAACTCTAACCGCTTGCAGATTCCGAGATTCAGCGGTGAATGGGACCCAACCTGTAAACTTGCAGACGTCTTGAAACGGCAAAGGGTCAAATGGTTCTGTACATCAGCTTCTTGGGTTTCTCTGTTGCTTTACTCTTTGCTTCTTTCTCTGTTTCTTGAATGGCTGCCTCAATTTCTTGGGTTTCCCCCCCCTCCAAGGTTTTTCAGTTGTGGTGGACATTTACGCTCTTGCACCCCGAAATATGAACGGGTACACCAAAGTTAGCCGATTGGCAGGTCACGTGCGATGGCGCAAATTGTACCAATGTCTGTCAAGCGTATGTCTAAAACTACCTGCTAGAGGCTCTCTAGATCTCCATCTAGCGGTGGCCCTTCAATCAGCAGTAACGAGAGCAAGCAACTGCAGGGCTGCATCTTTACCTTGCGCACAGGACTGAATATTCCTAAAACGCACCCTTCTCTAACATAAAACGTGGTTGTAAAATAACATTTCCAGCACAAACGTCACCTCATCTTGAGAGGTCTGTGGTAGGCTCCAGTGCCCTTTGAAACCAATACAATTTACATAACAAAGCAGTAAAATGATAAGAGTGCGGTCAACTTTAAATAACCCCTTCGAAAGCGTTTGTGTTATAAGATGGATAAAAAAAGACAAAATGAAAGACAGTAAAAAATTAAGCAGTAAAAAAACGCTTTCATCAGTGTCAGCAGTCCACGGTGACGAACCATGTTACTCACGTGACTGTTTGTGTTGAAATGCTTATTTTACTGCGAAAATGACGTGCGGCTGACAATGAGTTGTTAGACTGTGTCCTGCTACGATGATCGTTCATGGTGCAATCTGGCTGCCAAAACGGGGGGACCACAGCACTGTAAAACATTACTGTTGCTTCAAACAAAGATCCCCCGTGTAGTCTTACACAGGCTGTTGGGGACCACACCTGGTCGAATTTGTCTCCCAAGTGCTGATGTTTACAGACTGCACCAGGTACTCATTTAAAGGCTGAGTCGACCTAGGGGAGGCACAGGACCAGTTCAGAAAATCACCACTACCGTTTGCTGTGGCTGAGAACAGACCTCAGGTTGCCAGATTCGTAGCGTAATGTGTAAACCGCTACGCAACTGCTTTGAAAAAAAAACACACACACACACACGTACATCTTCATTTTTGTATTGCCAAGGGCCAAAAACGCATTTAAATTTTTTTTTCATTAAACCACATGAAGCGTACAGTTAAAAATTAAACGTTTCAAAACAGCTTTTTTGTGAGAAGTTAAAACCCGCCACCATTTACGACGCGTGATATTTACAGGGTCTGGAGAGGCTGCGGACGATGAAGTTGGCAAGTCATCTTCCAACCTCCTCCTGTCCGACACCTGGGTTGATGCGTCTCCCTGCAGGCCATCGGTCCCAGCCGATGGCGGCAATCTCCTCCGCACTCCGTTCACTTGCGCGGTATCCATTTGGCACTGGGGCCTCAAGTCCGCTGTTACCCTACACGCGCATAGTCATCAACATGCGCGCGCGCACACACACACATTTCAAATACTTTTTTTTGCCAATATCCCAGAGAACGACGCTACGGTGTAATAGTTGGCACACGATTTGAAATCCAGAGGTGGCCGGTTTGATCCGATATCCCAGCTTGGCAGTTGAAGCAATGGCCAAGTTCTTTAATTTCCCACAGCGAGTTCATCGGAAGGTCACGTGTGGTGTGATCGAGTGTGGGTACTCCCACGTTTTCCAAGACATCTGGCCAACAAAAAAAGAGTAGGCCAAATACCTTTTGGAGGGGCTCTACACATGAGTGAATTCAAACCGCATATAGCGTATTTTTGGTAGACATAGGTTAGCCACATATACGGGAAATCGCACAAACCGAACCCGCATAAAGGGAGGGAAACCTGGAAAGCCATTATTGCCGAGTGCTGCGATTGGTTATCACTCCTTCATCGCTTCTACCATGGTTGCCATTTCCATGAACTTTACTCATTGATTACTATAGCTATTTTGAGGACTCTGTCTACCAGCTGGAATGTTTCTTGTCATTTGTCACAACCACCACACTAATTCTTCCCTAGCATCCTTTAACGTTTGAATTCCCTCCCATCGTCTCTGTTCCCAGGTAACTGTCATAACCTTGCTCAATTTAAGAAATCTATCAACTTGTTATCTATGATCACTTTCATATATGTTTTTGTTTCTGCTGACCTTTGGGCCTGTGCTCTGCACGTGCGATTTAATAAAGTGCCAGATAGGCTAAAGTTACACAACCCTCCTCCCCCATGGCACTATGGGGACAAATTCAGAAATCATATTCAAATTCAAGTTCTTTTCAAAGCTGAAGTGGTGATTCAAGAGTCGGAGCTTCAACTCTGGTGTGTTTAAGCATGCCATCTTCAGCACAGCAGATGTTTTAAGAGCCTGTGAGATTACACGCATGAGATCAATACGTTTGGCTTTAATAGCGCAATTCCCCAAATAAAAAAAAACTCACAACAAAGTTTATATATTTATGTGATTAAGTTCAATCAGGTCTACCCTGACAAACATAACAAATACGTTTGATAGGACTCTGCTGGTTATACAAGGCTTATTTGGACAGTGAAACCTGGGCAAAAAGGATTTTAAGGGGACCTGAGAAACTTGATGTTAGGTGTGGGTAAAGCTTGAATCGGAGAACATTGCATGTATTACAGGATATCAGGGACATGAAAATGGTTTGTTAGGATGCAGAAAAGATGCAACAGAACAACAAGTTTGACTCCAATCTACTTTTTGTTCAATCCCGAAAATTTACAATTTACTAGAATGTCGAATTATCCAGCACAATATTTCATTTTATCGAGGAGTATTTCCTATGAGAGCATTTAATTGCGATATAATTAGGATATAAATGCACAATGGGAAAAACATAACGAGGCTTCACTCAACAACGAACGCTGTGTTCGCACCTCCAATTAGCGCGGTTGGCTCCGTACGGTGCAACATAAGTTCAACATACATACAAATATAATATATTACTTAAAAAATTGCAACAGTTTACGAAGAAGTAAGATCACTTAGCAAAAGATCGTATTTCTTTTCGCAGAATCTGTGCCGTATATATCATCTTCACATAAACAATCAGGCTTCAATTCCACTCAACGAAACTTGTTTGCGAATGGAATGCAAGACGAAAGAAAACTGCGGTTTGTTATTATTTGGCAACATTCTAAAGCTGCTGTCTTACACTCACACACAGAGTAAAACGTGAAAGCAGTATAATTGAACACTTACCCGGACATGCGAGCAGCACAACACCCACACACTAAAATGCACTTCTGAGAAAAACAAACGCTTATAGGAAGGTCCTTGCAATAAGCGTCACTCGTGACAAGCTATTTAATTGGAGCCGAGATAAATGGGGCAAAAGCCATTTGAACGAGTGTGACGTGTACAAAAATGTATCATCACAATCACTTCATTTCTCAAATTTCCAGTTTGCGTCAATCACTCAATCACAGTGGACAATAACACTGGTGTTCGAGCGAACTGAAAATAACTATGTTTGAGGTAGATCTAAGAGTATGTATTGCATAACAATGAAAGGCTGTCTAGTACAAATGAAGAGAAATAGGCTTCCATTGGGCTATAAGGAAGTCTACAGTAAATACAATTGCTTCACCTCGGGCAGTACATGGAAAGAATTGGGTCAAAGGGTAAAATATCAAAAAACATGTCGGTCATTAGAAACACATTTCAAGAGTGTGATGACAAATGTTGAACTGTTTTAGTTTAACAACATTCACTATCGCAATCCCATGCTGCAAAGCAACAATTAATTCGAAATTTGGAAATGTCTCTTTTTTAAAATCACAATTCTCCCAAATCACAGCCCCGCTGGTCAATCCCCTGCCGGATAAAAGGCCTCCCCCCCCAGGGCTGTGCTCATGGGAGTTTTTTTTGTCCATACTTCGCCACGCTGGTCAGTGCGAGCATGAAGGTGGACCAACAAATTAGTTCAGACAGCACTCGCCACTGACGTTAGCCGTGACCATAAATATGGACGTACACAATACAGCTAGGTGGATGGTTGCATCACATGACCATGAGGGATGGTGATGGCTTGAGGAGGCCTTCATCCAAGAGTGGATAGATTCGAGTTGCTGCTGGTGATAACTCCCCCTATTAGTAACATTCAACTCCACCAATGACAAACATTCGCCACGAATAAAACACCACTGGTGCTGATGACAGACACAGAGGGCTCCTGAAGTCTCGTTATAAATAGCCGCCGTCCCATGTCGGCGCTTGTGAAACCGAAGCCACCCACTAGAATGTGTGGGTGGGCTTTTAACCTACCTAAAGTACCACTGTACTTTTTTTCGAGTGTAATTTTATGCCCAGCGATTGTCCGGGTTCCGCACTTCATCAACATAGTTGTCGTTTGCCTCTCGAGTGGCATTCAAGCGGCGAGGCTTTTAAGCCGACGCAAACACGAATTAAATGCGAAAACAAGTGCTCACAACACACGAATTAAAACGCGAAAACTGGTGCTCACGTTTGATACAAGCACACAGAGCATTACATCTTGACTTAAAGCTTTCGTGACTGCAGGAATTCATATTCCATCACTGATGGACGAATTTAATAAATGTAAATGGCGAGACACAACGAGTGAGTTTAGAGGTAACGTCGGAATTCTTGGGAGGGAGATGTTCACATTCATTCGGTTCCTTTGGCAGCGACTCAGAATAATAATCTCCACGACTTGGGGGGGGGGGGAAATCATCCAGCAGCGGATTGGAAAAAGGGACTGTAACATCTACATGTGCACATTATGTACACACAATGTACTTGAACACAATGTGCTCACAATCACTTTAAACGCCAATCTTGTTATATAAGCTTGCTTCTAAACCACTCAACCATCCGACTAAACCTGCTCACCAAGTTCGGCAAGAGCTTACCTTGAGGGTTTGTAAATAATTGTAAACATTCGGTGCCAACAATACTATTACCGCTTAAAAATTCATATATTTTTTTACAGCCGCTTTCTCAATCCCCTGCTGAATGAAGGGCCATGAGAGATGTGACCATACTTCACAAGGATGGTCACAGTGTGATGGCAAGACCGGTTTGGGAATCTCATTTGCCGCTGCTGATTGCCATGGCGAGGAATGAAACGAACGAGTCGCCGAGTTCATAGAGCAGTGATCAAACCACTGCGCTACCACTCCACTCGATTGCGAAAATTGAAGAATTAGAAAAAATACACAATATGTAACTACGTTCTGTATGTAGCCTGCGCTGTCCAAATCAAACATCAGTTGTTTAAATGTTGACGTGACCCAGAAAGTCATGAACAGTTTTCTACTTTAAAAAAAATCTGCTTTGAAACAGCAATCCAGTAATGTACTTTTAAAAACGAACAGCGCTGGACCCATGTCCTGACATGACTGAGTTACTCATAAGTCACAACGGGAAATATAATACAATTAAAACCTCACAGCTATGCAAAATTACAGCCTTAATTTACACATCCTCAACCTAAACACGACGTAGTTTTCCCTGCATTTCATGCGATATCCTTCGACTGTAATAGATTTGTAATGCGTATTCGAACACATAAAATATGCTTAGATACACCTTGATTTAATTTCAGCAAAACACTTCAACTTAACACCTCTCATAAATAAGGTACATGTACAGCAGCCCCTTTTAATCAATTCACTGCTGGATTGAGGAGCTTCCCACAACCTGCGGATTACGTGGGGGTTATTGGATCCTACTTCACTGCACTGGTAACTTTGACCATACTTCACCACGCCGGTCAGTGCGGGCTGACGGTAGGCAGGGAGTACACACACGTGGCATATAGAGAGTCCAGTGAAAAAAAGACACGTTTAGTCTCTGGCTGTGCGGTACATTCACGACTGCCTGATAACTTACAGGGATTCAAGTTCAAATCCGGGCGTGGCATCCAACTCAGCCTTTAATCACCTCATGGTCGTGAAAGCAGGTACTAATTTACAAGTACGTAGATCACTAATTCGTGCTCGGATCCAACTCCCGACCAAACTTGCCCTTCCTCCGCGCCGTACGAATATGGAATTCCCAACACGTTCGCTTCTTAACGCCCTTGTTCGAACCGTTCATCCTCTCGCATCACGGGCGCAAGCGTCGAGAACAACTGCAACGGAACTTAACAAACAATTTGGCCATGGGCCTACCCCTATAGGATATCAACAAGCGCACGTTACAACACATGGGCGGTAAGGGGGGGGGGGCTACTAACAAACAAACGATGCCGCTAACGACAATTGACGAGGGGGGGTCTCTCGGAATGAGTCGCTTAGTACATAAACTAAATAAGGGTGATTACAATGGTGATACGCTGTAGGATGTTGTTGCTAGGGAGACGCGGGGGGGGACACACGGAACCCACCGGCCTCTCGCCTCCATCTCTCCCGGCGACTGAAAGCGCCGACTGGCCTGGGCGCGCCTCTCATTGGTCGGCGTGGTCGCGAGGGCGCGGCTTAACGCTGGAGCGGATTTGGCCAATAGGAGAAACGCCTACTGGAGGGAGGGGGTTATTTATCATTATTAATATTTATTTATTATTGTTGTCATTAAAATTTTGCACTTTGTAAACAGTAAACAAATGTGGTGGTGGTGGTGGTCGTGATGCGTTCGGGTAGCGGTTAGCTCGCGTGCGCTAACCAACCCGGCGTACCCGATATCGATTCCCGCTCACGGCCACCAACACCGGTGACGATTATCTGAACCGGTCCTTGGCCTCCCCCTAGGTCGGCTCAGCCTCAAATCAGTACCTGGTGCGATGTCTAAAAAACATAGCTACTGGGGAGACAAAGGCGGCCGGGGCGTGGTGCTGGCCACCCACCCTCCTCGTGCACCGCGCCGGCCTTCATAGGTTGCTACTCATTCTTAGCTCTTTCGGTAAAGTCACGTTGAAGGGAAAAAATAAAATATATATAAAACAATAAAAATTCTCACGACGTTTCGACCATAACACAAACGGTCGTCATCAGGTGTGTCGGTTTGCATTATGTGTTATGGCCGAAACGTCGTGAGAATTTTTATTGTTTTATATATATTTTATTATTTTATTGTTTCCCTTCAACGTGACTTTACCGAAAGAGCTAAGAATATGAATTACTGCAGTCACGAAAGCTTTAAATCAAAATTTAGGTTGCTACTCGCTAACAGCACTTGCCCCAACAGTCTATTAAGGCTACACGTGGGATTATTTGTCTTTTATTCAGCTACTGCTGCTGCAGCATTGGCAGTGGGGCACAAACAGCAAAACAAAACTCAACACATTTGTCAATGACTGTGTGTGACATTAAAAAAAACACGACGTTTCGGGCAATGGCCCTTCTTCATAGAACAGTAGCAGTGATGCCAGAGAGATACAGTGGACAATAAGAGTTAGAGGCTCTACTTAACACCATCCTAGTAAGTATGCACACGTTGGGTCAACGTTGGCATTTGGCTGGTAACGTTGGCATTTGGCTGGTACCGTTGGACCAACATTGGCCCAACGTACCACGTTGCCTTATATGGTATTCATACTCTGACCAGTGCCGGATAATCCCAGTAGCAAAAGTAGCTATATATTCTACGGGCCCCGCACTTTGAAGGGCCCCGCGCTAAATGCTTTCAAGCTATCAATTCCGGTTCAGTGATTCTGCACTTGCTCTATTACTATAGTACTATACTGCCTTCAACGTTTATGAACGACTGGGTATTTAAGGTTAGCGATTTGTCGTATTATCTGGCTGCATAGCAAATAAAAAAATACAATTTACTTTACTATGCAAGTAAAAAAATGGTTTAATGGTTATGTTTTTTTTTTATTGAGGGCCCCTTTATAACATATGCTACAGGCCCCGCACTAGCTTAATCTAGCACTGATTCTGACATGTTGTCCCTCTGACGCGTATCTTCATTCGCTTTACAAAATTTTTGCTTATGATTTTTGTTTCGCTCATATATCTCTTGAGTCCAACCTAAGCAGCCTTCCCCTCCTCAATTCAGTTCTTCAATAGTTTCCTGCACTTCCATTCGCATTGTTCGTTAAAATGACCCAACTTTATACAGGAGGCACCTAACGTTGGGCCAACGTTGCGAAACTCACTTCCCGAGGAGGTTGCTATAACCCTGGCTCGCCGGGAGAAGGCAGTGCACCAAGTCGCCATCTGTGTTCATCTGTACGGGGAGTTTTCTCCCGTTGATCCGGTTTCACTCCCACTTGTATAAACAACTCATTAATTGCCTACACATATCTTCATGTAAAGACCCATTGTAGCACGGAGCGCCCTCCCGAAAACGAGTCAAACGACTGGGTGTGGTTCTCATGAATGAATAAGTAAACCATTATTAGAATGTGCACACAGGATTATCTCGTTATCCGCGAGGGATACGTTCCGGGCACGCTCGTGAATAGAACATTTCGCGGATAATTGTATTGGCCTATTAAAACCTATCTTTTTTTATGAATGACCTTAAGTAAATACACAAATAAGCTTTTAAATATATGAAAATTATCATTACGCAAAACGTAAAAAATTGGTTATTATAAATATGAAGTACATTTTGTTGTATATCAAAGTACTAAATAATCGTTCGGTCACTGCGGATGCATGGCGCCGTCCCGACCGCAATGTCAACGCCTCTTCTCAATGAGGTATTTTGAGATTACGTGAACTCTAACGGAGTTGCGTCACTGCTTCTTGACTCTGCGGGTTTGCCTAGTTTCCCGTTACAGAATTGCACAAGTGCTCCTTTAAAATACTTGGGATATGAAATATGGAGGCCGCCGCTGAGCAAATAGATGTTGAAATCACGAGTGAGTGAGAAGCCATTGCCATCAATGTTCAGTCCTATTTCAGTACAGTGATTCCGCATGAGTAAAGTGCCACGTGCGTTTTTTGGAGTTTCAGGGAACAGTCACACCAGGTCAGGTGGCCCTCTGAGTCTCGAGACATTCGAGTGTTGCACCGTATACGTTCGATAACTAATATCTAAGCAATTTAAGGCGATAGCTAAGGGGCAATGAAACATATTGTCTGGTGACGCTGCTGCTGCGTTGGCAGTGGTGTACAAGGACGAGTAACGACAACAACAATAACACATTCGTCAATAACACTGACTTAAATGGAAGAATACATATACTAGGCGACGGTTTAGGCAATGGACCTTTTTCATAATACATAAATGTGTGGGGGCCATTGTCCATTCCATGTGCTATGAAGGGTCATTGCCCGAAAAAACGTCGATAAAAACATATTTTTTACTTTTAAGGCCACAGTGTTATTGACGAATGCGTTGAGTTTTATTTAGGGTAGGAGAAGATCTCACCACAAGATGCTTCTCCAACCATGGCCATGTCATCTCTGAACATTTTAACAGCCAATCGTGGGGACCTTTAATTCCTGCCGTTCCAGGCCACTTCCCTGGGGTTAATGCTCAGCAGGTATTCAATTAAAGGTCTCATGATTATACCGTCTTCTCTCTCTCTACCAAAGACATGGCCCTGTCACTGCCGATCGTAGTTGTTTTCCCGTGGCAGCCCGCCGACGTTTGAAATTCCACCTTGATCCACTTTCGCGACAGCATTCAATCTACAACGCGTACTTTTAAAGGTTGGGAAAAAAACAGGTTTGAAAGTTTTTTTTTTTATTTGAAACGTAATATCACCCGCACTCAAGAAGAGTATGCAAAACATTGTACAAACAAATGCCCAGATATAATCAGGTAAAACACGGAACGATAAAATGCACTTTAGGGGGAAAGCAATAAAGTGGGTCTTGCACTCACTTCTGAACGAACACACGGAGACTGGTAGCTCGCAGCTGACCGCACCCGGCAATGCATTGCAGGTCCGAGGAAGTGGCACTCGAGAAGACCCGGCCACCCAGCATCCATGGGGTGCACGATCCATGGGCTGGGAGAGACGGCCCTTCTCTAGGGCGCTCGAGACACTTAAAGGCTCTGCGCGAGTGCTCCTCACGGATTTTCGGATGGCGGCCACGTTCGCCGATAAGACGTCAGGGCGTGAGGGCCGTCACACATTTGAAACTATTGGGGGTTTGACAGCAACACGGGGTGGGCGGGGGGGTTGTGTTTTCACATTTGTTGTCTATTGTCGGTGGGCCACACGTCAAGGGGCCGCACTAAAGGCCACCAGGGGCCGCCAGTGGCCCGTGGGGCCTTGCAATGAAGAACGCCGCACCGCACTCTCTAGTCCGGCGTTCGAGCTCGACGGAGATTGGCTTCGTGCCCCGGAGATCGCGGTCATTTTACGCCTCCGTGAAATATTTCGCCGCGCGTTTGAAAATTGCAGAACCTGTTATTGTCATCATTATTATTGGCATCGTCGTGATTGCCCCACGGTTGGAGAAGGATCTTCCAGGTGAGATCTCTCCTCACCCACAATTGTTTAGATATTAATTCTAAAGCACAACCGCCGCAAGGCATGTTATTCGTAATGGGAATACATCGAATTATTCGTCTGTGTTTTGCCCCCATTATAATTGTACGTTTGCCATCTGGAACTTCATCCTCATCCGAGACGCTATAATTCCTGGCCTATATGCACTTCCTTTGCTACAGAGAGAGATCTGCATAAAATTCCTCGCACTAAGTTACATATGGTATTCCTATTTCGAGTCATGGTTTAATCTCTCCCCCTGAAGGGCTACCGCTTGGATATGGTATATTTGTACTGTCGCGGCAAATACTAAATTGTGGGCAGCAGAGGGCAGAAAAAGCCGAACATACAAAATGGTTGTACGGTACAGTACCATGCTCCCAAGTGCACACACCCTCCCTGCCCCACCTTCACACTAAGACCAACGTGGTAAATTATTGTCAAATAATGCCCACGACCCGCACATGTCCATGCAGCGGTGGCACTATGACCCTGGATCACCTGAGTTCAATTCCCGACCGCGGCTAACATCAGTGGCACGTAATATCCCAACC